CCTCAAACAACTTCTTCCATAATAATTTTTAAATAAGCCGTGCTTTCTTCACTGTTCAGAGTTCTAACAGTCCTACTGCTTCTAAAGTGAAAGAAGTATATTAAAAAAGGCAAAGTTTAGGTAACTGAAGTAGTATTTATGGTAGCATGGTTCAGAAATGTCCGAGAAGTGTTGTGATTCTGGTATTTAAGTTCTAAGGCAAAGCTAGAGCCATTTTTTGCAAAATATTTCTAAGCAAGAAAACAAAGCACACAGCTACAGACCATGAGCTTAAGCCCTATTCACCACATACTGAAAGAAGACACAAACTACTATCAAAAACATCTTCCCCTTCCCCCTGCCTTTCCATTTATGTAGGGTGCATGGGTCTTCCCTGTGGACAGCCTCTTCCATTGAGCATCAGCCTGAACCACTCCTGATCATTTTCCCAAACGCTGCATCCAAACTGGGAAGGGAAAGCCAGCTTCATCTCCTACCAAGAGTTTCTACCCATAATATTCTCTTTGAACATGTTTTCCATATCTTCCCACTACTTAAACAATGTGAAAAAGCAGAAACAGAAGCCAAGAATCTTGTCCCATGTGACAACTTCCACAACAACGTTATTTTAAGACATATATAAGAGAAAGGTTGTGCACTTTTGTTTTCACAGTGAATCTACAGAGTATTTCTTAAAAAGCATTTTCCTAAAAAATTACACCTTGAAAGAGCTCAACATATAGTATGAAGAAAGGAAAATAGCAGCAGTGGGTGCTGCCCAATCCTTCTGTCAGGAGAGGTTACACAACACCTTGCATTTCCTATAACTCCCTATAATGACTGCTCTACTCAGAAGACCCACTGCTCCTAGTATTGTTAAGACTGTGCATTCCCAGATTTCTAACTTACTCCTCTTAGGTGAAACCACTACCTGTAAAAGGGCAGTTAACAAAGACAACTCTTACGCAATTCCCCTTGAGTCTCAAATTAAAAACTTAACTGAGAGACTTACTAGGACCTCCATATTGGATGACTGAGTTTCTTTCATCGTTTTCCTTCTCAGCTTTAAGAAATAATTTCTACCTTCAGACGGTGCAAATTAGTTCTTGGATAATCTATTAGCATTTATTATCATATCACTCTATCGGAATTTCCTTCAGCATTACACAAATTCAGCTGAGTTTGATGGTAAGAATTCAAACCATTAAGTAAAAACTAGTTATTTGTATCAAATTGTTAATCATTTTTGATTTGAATATAACAGAGCTACAGCGGAAATTAGTCTTGGATGATTTTCTGTTAAGATATACATATACTTTTAATTGAGTACAAGAAGTGATGGTCTGAGTGCTTGAGCAGTTGCACTATTATATGGCACTCCTTGAGCTGTCTTTATCTTCCACATTAGTCTCTTCTCAGGAGAATTAAAAGCCATTCTGTAAAACAGCCTTGAAAGACATCTGAAAATCAAGCAAACTTTCATGTTTAATGTGTTTTATGGAAAGAACAGTTCTCCAAAATTTACTGTCAAAGGCCATTAAAAGTGGCTTTTATTTTTACAAGCTTTAGAAACACCATTCTATGAAATGGTCTTGCAAAAATGGAAAAAAAAATTTAAAAAATCTAAAACCTACAGAACAAAAACTGAAGTAAATCAAGATAGTTCTGTAGAAACTTGATAGGCTAAACCAGGTTGTGTCAGCAAACATGAGAACTCAAATAGGCTATGGATTTGAGAGAAATGTGTCACACATTTTCTTTCTTCTTCTACTTCCATAGAGTAAAATATTGGACTGTACACAAATCTTCAACCAGAATTGGAGAATTTTAAATTCAACTTTGAGAATTCCCATCCTAAAGTAACAGATGGAAAAAAAGAAGAAAAAAAAAAAAAACTAGTATCAAGGCACTTATAGTAGTCTTTTTCTGTCTTGTTCTTTTGCTGAAGAAGTCAGGAGAAGCGTATTTCATTTTTCTGACTGTAAGATAATAGGAGATATCCACTGACTTTGTTTTCAAGCCCCGTATACGAAAATTTGGAAAGATTTTGAATACAACTGCAATGAAAGGTCATTTTTAATTCAGTGTTAAAAAATGCCAAAACCAGCTTTTTTCTTTATGCCCTGAATTCTTCAGGTAATCGTGAAAAAAGCAATGTGCGAAAGTAGGCTGGAATTCTGTTGGACAAATACAGGCTGGATCTCTCTATCAGAAGAATAAAGATTTTGATGTGTAAAAATACATGTTAATAACAGAAGGGAAAAAGAAATGCACGGCGAAACTATATGCATACCATTACCTCGGGTATTACCTAGAGGAAACAAAGTGCGATACTTTGGAAATGGATTAGTGATATATTTAGCCACAGTGGTTAGCAGCCATTAATTCAATTAGATGGCCCAGATAAGGTCATATTGCCACAGCTTGATGTCAGATGGACACACGTGCTGATTCAAAGTTGATGGCAGTCAAGGGGAAATCAAGTAAGAAATTACTCTCTTGAAAGGCCCTTAGTTTAGCTTCAGTAGTGAGTCTCCAGGGCTTTATGAGTGATTCTTCATGCCAGGATCTACCTCTGAAGAAAGCGGCTTTCTGGCTCTTAGTCTCCATCAAATGCATTCCCACCTACAGCCTCGCAGTCCCCCGTAGTAGGAGCTAATGAAAAGATAGCAAATCACACAAATCGTGTGGCTGAAATCTTCAGAGGATGGAAACCTTTCACAGCTTTAAAAAACAAAATTAAAACCCAACACAATTAATTTTGTCCTGATTCATCCTCCCTCTCACTCCTAGCGTATGAGCTTGGACATAGTTCTTTTGCCATCTCTGTGATGAAGAAGAATCATAGAACAGCCTAAGTTAGAAGAGACTCGTAAAGATCATTGAGTCCAACTCCTGGCTCCGGACAGGACCACTCAAAAATTAGACCATTTGTCTGAAAGGATTGTCCAGATGTTTCTTGCACTCTGGCAACATCAGTGCCATAGAAAACCCACCCAAGAAGGTGGGAGTTGTTACTTTGCATGTTTGTTTTACTGCATATATCATCTGGAAAAATAAATTCTCTGTTACAAGCAGGCATTTTAAACATTCCCTAAAGGCAGCAGAATACCATCTTTTACTGTTCCTTTTACCTTCAGGAAAAAAAGATAACTAGACAGAACACATAAAATCCTACTTAGCGTCTTACTCCTTTGGTCTTTTAATAACCTTCCAGGAATTGGCAAGACTGATGCTGATCCTCATCCTGATTCTGACATGGGCTCTGCTGAGAATGGAATTGGAGTGCTCAAAATAAATCACTGGTTTGAACCTGTCAGGCTCACCTGTAAGGATGCCTGGCTGAGACCAAGTCCATGTAATGGAATACAGTTTTGACAAATGCAGTCAGAAAGCTGACTATTTTATGATCACAAGGGAAACTGTGACATAAATCAGTAGCACTGTCTCAAGCCTCTTCACTTAAAAAGATGTACCTAAGGTGTCAGATGAGACTCTAAACAAATACATTTTCAAGGCAATTCTACTTTTCAAGCTGCTTTATCCCTTGGCCTCTGTTACCGCAAGAAGTCAGAGAGACTGTGCCAGTGTTTCTCACTCTGTTGGCCTGTGAATCTGTGATGCTCTGAGAGACATCAGATGGTGGTCCACAAAAATGGGGACAAAAATTTAATGCATAAAGAAAGTCAGGACCTAGAGTTCCATATTCAAAGATTACATATTTTACAATGTAATGTAAAATTTATATATTTATTACTAACAATTTTGCAGTAAATAAATAACAGTAAATAATTCGTCTTATCTGTTGAGCAGTCTTCTTTTTAAATCATTGCTTCTTCTAACCATCAAAGAGCAGATCCGATACAGAGGTCACATGTCTTCACACAAAGGTCATCAAGTCCTTGGATTAAACACCATTTTTCCTTGGCCTGATGGTCTCTTGTATATTGTACATTAGAAGTACAATTAGAAATAGAGGTCTTGTAAAACGTTTGGTAGAACATTGCCATCTGAGGGTCTATTTCCTTCCACTTCCTCGCAAAAGCTCTGTACCTTTTGTTTTACAAATTTTGCTTTTTCCTACCCACTCTTTTCCTCACAGGAACCAGCTCCTCAATTTACTTATTGCAACACTCCTTAGCAGAAACACTAACTGCAGTTTTACACTTGTCCTTATGAGTGTTACGAGTGTTACCGGCATGGCACTACTCAAAGGTGGTATGATATTTATGGCACTGAGATATAACATACTCCAGGGTATTGCTCAGCTTTCTGGAATAGGTATTTACTTTAGCAGAAGGCACTTCATGGATTTTAGCTTTTACATATTCTACTTCTGCTTTTTGTGTATAAGAAATCTCAAAACTCTAAATGAAAAAGATGTGCATAGTTGCAGGCTAAAAGTTCTGCACAGGCACAGAAGAAAAGTAGTTATTACTCTGTCAGGAGAAAGATGTCACAACCTTTGAAATGACTTTCAGATTGGATTTCCTTTTGCACACTGTTCTAAGCAGATACTACAGTTTGGCAGGAAAGGAGGAGCAAAAGCTTCCTGCGAAGATAACACTTCACAACTCAGTTTATATAAGCTAGATCATCTGAGTTTGACATTACACCTTAGAAAAACCTGACTGAATACTGCAGCGTGGGCAGGAGATGGACAATGCCAGCAACTCCATCCTTAGTCCTCATCTCTCTGACTTCTGTCTTGTTCGGTCTGAGTCTCCTTTGATGACTATCAACATAGCCAAGCACCACCTAATCACAGGGATGCAGCCTCTGTGGATGCCAGCAGGACTGCACCCATGTATTCCTCAGTGGGACTTCCCCCACTGCATTTGGAACCAGTTTGGGCCACAGCTGGCAGAATGTCAGCTCCTGCTACAGGTGACACAGGAGAAGACATTTTGCTGTTCAAGTCACAAGAGGGTACCCAAATCAGATTGCATCTGCAGTGCCGGGAGGGTCCCCTGCTCTGCTAACCACTCAGCACCACATGCACCCAAGGAAAAAATGTTTACCTGGTGTGGCCACAGTTAACCTTTTTTCCTTGCTGAGACGGTGCCCATGGATGAATTCACTCATGGAAGGGGGACCCCTCAGAAGATATGATTCTGTGGAGGCGGGATGAGGGGGGGCTCTTAATAATTTCTGGAGGTAGGTCCCTGAAGTCCTGGGATGGCTCTGATCACAAAGGGAAGGTGAGAATAGTCTTGCAGGAGATCCAAGAAAAATACATATGGAAACAAAAGAGTTTTACTTTAATTACCTTTCAAAACCTCATCAATGACAATATTATGTTAATTTGCTTAATAGGTAAAAACCAACTACTGTTGCCATCCCGTGTCATTTCCATGGCAGAGCACCTTGACTGCACTGGAAATCAAATTAGGGGAGGAGGAGATGAGGTTGACTTATATCTCAGCATCCCGGAGTTGATACGTACAAGGCTCCCAGAATGTTCTCTTATTTTTGCATTGTGACTAGAACATATAAGAAAAAAGAACAATTATCTAGGACTTCTCTAGAAGAGTCCTTTTTTGTCTTCAGAACCCACAGCTACAGAGCTTTGGCAGGACAGTCACAAGACAAGATGAGAACTCACTGCTTAAGCAGCAAAATATTTGCATTAGGCTATGAATGGCAGCCATCCCCCTTCAAAAGGTTGCTTGCTCCTATGCAGAAAAATTGATCAGAGTGAACACATCCATATTCTTTTTGCACTGATGAAAAGCAAGTGAGCATCAGAGCTTAACAAAGAGATGCAACTTCTTTTGTGTTAAGCACTGAAATGCTCATACAGAACAATTCTTTTAGATTTCAGATGCTCATTATGAAAAATCTTAAGGGAAACTTAAGGAAGGGTTGTTAAAGAAAATATATTTACACTAATATTAAAGACACACAAGATGCACCGAGACACCAACACAATATAATGCAAAACACCGCATTAAGAAGGAGGAAATAACATTGTGAGTAGGTGGACCAGAACCACATGTTGCCAGGCTTTGAATTCTGTATTCATATGTTCCCCACCTCCTTCTCCCCACTCAAATATAAAAAAGAAAAGAAAACCAAAAATAGAATGTTTACAATTCAGTGAACGACTTTAATGAAAGTCTGGACACTGCACTGTACTATAAAGATCACTGCATGCATACCTTTTCCTCTGAGTGCCACTGCTGACCAGTAAGTTTGGCTGCTGTGGGCCCTGACTATGCAGGAGGAAAGTGTCTATGGTTGGCACGGTGGCTGATGCCTCCTCACTTACTTTAGGGCTGCCGATCTTGCTCTTTCCAAGCTTGCCTTTGCTGCGTCGGGACTGCTCATGGTCGAACTCTAAATCCTCCAGTCGTTGGGTAAGGGCAAGTTTTTGCTGGATAGCCATGCGCAACAGAGAGTTTAGGGTCTTCTTCTCATCCTCTGCAGCTGCCAGCTGCCTTTGCATCTCATCCAGCTGCGTGACGTACTCATCACACCTGGGAAAACAAACAAGGCAGAAATCTGGGGAACTGATCCAAGAACCAACCCTAAAGTGATCGTAATTCCAGACCTCAGTTAAAGGGGCAGATTCAGATCCAAGCTTTTGCTGAACCAAATTCTGGAAGCAGAGAGCCTGTATTCTTGTCCTGCTGAATAAATTTGGACTTGGATCTGAATGCCAGTACTTCTCAATCAGCAGTAAAACCTGTATCTATAATGATAATAATGACAATGTAATATGTTTCTAATCAGTTAAGTAAACATTGGATCTCTGAGACAGATTTTGAAACAAAACCACCTCCTTATAATTTCATTAGCATTTAGGATCAAATGCAGTTTAATCCTGCTTTAAACATTGATTCAGTAAAATGAATAGGAAGAGCAAGGCATTTTAGAATGGTCTTAGTGACTTTTTGAAGTGAAATAGTTACAATTCATTAAAATTGGAAACATCTAATCAATAACAATGGTGGATGCATGCCATCAGTGAAATGATTCACAGCTAGCAACACTGTCTGATCATCAGACAGTCGTGGCAATATCTAAGGACTTTTTATATGAAATAATGCATCTTTCATCAAATCTCCTCCCCACATATTACCTGTGTAAATTTAAATAACTTTCCTATGTAATTACCACAACATACTGGATGAGGATTTAACTTTATCATTACCATTCACAGAAAATAAGGAAAGAAAAGCGTGTTAGTTTTACTTCTCAGAATATGTGAACCAATAAATTTTGTGAATTATTGCAAATGGAGTGATTGCATTTATTTATTTATTTATTTATTTTTGTAACCTTAAACTTCTCTTTGGGAAACAGAAGCAAAACATATGCAAAACTTCACACTTCCCCTTGTCACACGCACACACACGAGGCACTCTCCTTTTGAATAACTTAGGCACTTTAACTCAAAGAAAAATGGTTATGCCAGCCGTAATTTCAATTATAGTTTCAGTATTACCTTTCTCCTACAGGACCTTAACAAGCATGACTGTATATAAGCCCTGAGGTAGAGAGAGATTTCTGAAACATTGTTTGACTTCAAGTGCACTTGCACATCTACTTCTGTTGCAGGCTATGAGATCTTGGCCAGAGTTGTTGATGAAACATGAAAATGAAACAAGCATTCTGGAAATTAAATTCATTTGAAATAGGAACTACTATAAGGTCTGAGCTGTCAGAGTTTTAAAGATTCAATCATGTAACCAAATGTATCATCCTGTATCAATTTTTCATTCTTTCCTGCTTTCCTCTATTTCAAGAGGACACTTCTTTTCAAATGCATTTTCTGTTGAGAATTACAATAAAGAAGTGACATCTGCAGCAACACCTGTAGCACTGTACCACTGGAGGAACAAATTGCCTTGCTTTAGGATGCCCAGAAGCATCCTAAAAAATTTTTTCTTTTTGGAAGAGGTCTGTTTTTTTCCTCAGGCCTCAGGATGTTCTTGTATCTAGAAATCTGCTTTGCGAAACAGCACAACTGAACAGTTAACATAACTTCCATGAATGTGGACAGTACTGAAGCAGACTAAGACAAACTTGCTGTGAACTCTTAACAGGATGGCCTTAGAAACCTGGATGAATTAAATGCTGTTAGCTGGCCTTAGTCTCGAGATAAAAACAATTCCGTAAAGACAACATTTTCTAATTGTTCTCATTAACTGCATGCCCTTTCTAGAAGTTTCCCCATAATAGCAATCTAGCATTCTTGGCAGTTCAGTGCAGTGTTTGGGCGGTTCCAGTCATCTGACCTCCACCACGACGCGAAGTTTCCTATTATTTTGCCCAAACATGTGGGCCATTGTCCCTGTGCCGGTTGCTCAAGAACACGTATTTTTTGAGAAACAGCATTCAGAAAGGGTAAACCTAAATCAAACAACTGAAGGCCATAATTAACTTTAGAAACCATTGAATTAACAGCCTGAGATCTCCTTGAAGTCTGCAGCAACAAAGGTTATTCCATATAGTGGGAGGTAGCTACTGCCTGCAGCCATGGCATTTCCCTGCAATAAAATAATCCCTGCTATATCCCTGAGGGTAAGGGATAAAAATAGAAGTGTTTCCAATTTAAAAAGAAAAAAAACTTTACATGTTCATATTGCCTTTTGCCCATGTATTTTATAAACATTAGTGAAGTCTCAAGTCATAAAGAGGAAGAAAAAGTTAAGAGCTATTAAGAGAAATTACTTCTGACACAGTGCAGAGCAGCGCAGAGCAGGCAGGGCTCCAGAGCTCTGAATGGGCCTTTTAAAAGAGCTCAAGAGATAGTGCATAACAGAAATTACATTACATCTTCCTACACAGAATCATAGAACAGTTTGGATTGGAACAGGCCTTAATATCATCCTGTTCCAACCCCTTTGCCACTGGCAAGGACACCTCCCATTTGACCAGGTTGCTCAAAGCCCCATCCACCCTGGCCTTGAATGCCTCCAGGGAGGGACCACCCACATCAGAGCTCTTTCCCACTTTGTGCCTTGTCCTATGATGGGTGTAAAATGCAACTGACTAGTAAATAACACTGTTGTCTTGTTGTATGCTGGTCTACTTATCATGGGCACAAAAGTCAAGGTTTCATCTATTTCTCACTTCTTTTGTCTCAGAAAGGAAGCAGACAAATGCATAGGCCTGCTTATTTCGTATAAACTAACACATGAGGAATGTAAACCGAATAATGAATCAGGCCTAGGCATAATTGAGGTCACATAAATCTTAGCAGAGCTTCAGGTAAACCCAGAGACACTGTCAATGACATATCTCTGCTCTGCCAATGTAAGCATAATTCTCTTCTACTTATAAATGCTTTCTCCTTCAGGATAGCTCTAGGATCTGTCCATACTTCCTAGTCCATCCCCTAAGCACGCGTTTTCTCTAATTGTAAATCATAAGAAAATCTCTTGATGGACAGAGAATAAAATCAGTGCATGCAGCATCAGCAGTGTGACAATATCACAAACGGTATTTCTTGCTCTCTCTTTAAGAGAGTCTCTATTTAAGATGGGAAAACAAATTTATGTAGGGATTTGGTAAAATTAGCTTCCGATTCCCTCCCAACAGGAAAAGCAGGAAAGGCTCACACAGTTTTTCTGTTCTGGGAGAAACAGCACAGAACATAAGCAGACTGGGAGTCTGATGGGCAACATATTGCCCACATATCAAGCAGGAATTTAAACTCTGTTCTGCCAGCTCCACACAACCCACCAGCACACAGCCACAGAGATTACTTCTTCAGCAGAATTTGCAGCAGCAGGGTTAATACACCATTAAAATGCACCAATGGAACTGCTACTATGAAAGAGACTCCATCAGTGGAGTCTACTGCATGCCCCCAAAACTGTATCACAGTTGACTTTAAAAACCAAAATATTTATAATGCCTGAAAGTGAACAATTATAGTGTAACATTACCTGTTCTTCTCAGCTTAGATAAATTTTATTTCTCCAGTTAATTTCAACATCTCAACCTTCTCCAGGTCTCTCAGCTTTCCAAATAGATTATGAGAAGGGCCTAGAAAACTGACCCTCTTTCACCTGTAAGTCTGTTGAATTTATGTGGTTTCAAGATTCAAGAGAAGTGTATGGGGAAAAGGGAGCTTGAACTGTGGTGAGGACCTCCTTGACATCCTTGGCAGCTCTGAAGTAAATTCAGAAGGGGATAAAGGCTAATGAAGACAGAAACAGGAAGCTGTAGAGATCAGGACCACAGAGACTTTGGATTAGGAAACAAACAGTCCATGCAAATAAAAAGATCAAAAGAAGAGGTACAAGCTGGACAGAATGACTTTGGAGTTGAGGAAGAGCAGAAAGGAAGAAAGTACTCAAGGATTGAAGAATGTACAAGTATCAGGGGAAATCATGGAAAAAGGAATGCTCCTGCCCTCCACATAATGAAGCTTTGGAGAACGCTGTAATCTTTGTTATTCAAATCAGAGTCATCTGTGCTATTCTCTCCTTATAACATGGCATGAACTTCATTCAGTGCATGTGATGAAGAAAGCATAAAGTTCAGCACCAGAATGAACATCCATTCAGGGGTCAAATGAACAGAAAGGAAGAGATTATGAAACAGAAGGTTTCATAATCAACCTTCATTGGTCAATCAAGCAGCATATACAATCATTTTCAGATCTATAATACAGCTCTATTCTCAGAGGGATGTTCTCCCTACAACAAAAATTGAGAAGTACTACATGATGTAAGATTACCATGGGGAAACAACTGTTTTACTTAACAAGAGTAAACAACTGGGTTTTTTTCTGTTTTGTTTTTTAATGAATGTTGCTACTGAATCAAATGTTACTGCATGGAGAATCTTACATTCTTCTATTTCCAAACAGATTTATCTTCTTGAACGAACATCTACAGCAGATCATGGCTTTGTCATTTAAACAGCTGCTATTCCAAATGAAGTATTCAGAATGAGTCAATGATTTGAACATTTAGATAAACTGATTTTGTTATGAAGCTGAACACATCAGAAAGTAGGGAAGGAAAAGTAATATTTTATAATATTTTACAGAAAAATCTATAGGATCCCAGTGATGTGCAATATTTTTCAGTGAGTGAGTAACTTTTCATCTCTGCCCCTAGAAAACACTGTGCAAAAGTTATGATCTCAAGGGCCGAGATAAATTCCATAGGCTATGAAGTGTGCTTTCAATCACAACTGCATGGAGTTTACAAACAGCGGTAGATAATTTGTGTGAGTTTTTTCTCTACTACTATTAGACACCTATAAAGTGGAAATCCATAACTCAGCAAGTCACTCAGGTTCCCTTTATAGTTTGTAGAACAGAAACAGAAGTTTAATTACAGCCCACATAAGACATTTAGAATAGGCATATAGATACATGGCACTATGTAAGCTTCATTCTCATGGAAAATAAGACACTGTCTCCTGCCAGCTTTAGGATATGTGTGTTCTGTCTGGCAAAAGTGTTCAGCCAGGATGCCCAAATGGGATAAGAAGCATTCAGCACACCAACAACCTAACATCCTCTTTAAGTAACAACTTTCAGATCTTTCCAAACTTGTTTTATCTTGCAGGTTAATGATATAGGCTCCACATAAGTCCTTTGTTTGCATTATGCTCAAGATGCTAGCTCTCTCCTCAGGGCTTAGTAGCCCTCCAGGTAGTCGTACAGAGTTAGTACATTTGTGTAACTCTTAGAATAATGAGTTTGTAAACAAAGTCAACAAACATATTTTTAAAACACACACAGAAGTTTGCTTTCCTGAAGACAATCTCTAGGTGTCAATGAAATGAACAGAGCTACCTTGGTTCACTTCACCTGATGAGTTGGTTCTTCATTTCCATTATGGCACTACACGTACTCTTCCAACGATGAACCTATGATGAATTTGTACACAGCACCAAAGTCATGGCATGCAAATGGCCCCTCCTCCATTTTTCCATCTCTCCCAGATGCTGCTGCTACTGTCACCAAGCAACAAAAGACCAAAAAAGGCTGGAAGAGGTGAGATGGCACCTATATACTACAAGAGAGCGCTGGGGAGATGTTGGCATGAGGCACGAAGTCTTACTGCTTACAGATTAAAGTTCAAGCAAGAAATCTGCATTGCATTTAATCATAATGGGGAAAAAAATCATGACATAAACAGAAAAATTTTCTGAGGTTACTACTATCTCATTTGTGTGTTAAGAATTTTTTGATGGAATCACCGGATCTTCAAATACAAATTATTTGTAGGTAATTTTTACAAAGCAGCTAAAAACAAAAGCTCTTCTGAGTGTGGTAGAATGAAAGAAGAGAGATGATTAATTATTGCCCTGTCAGGAGGAACTATGCTACAGAAGATAAGTGAAACTTTGATCCTGTGAAGAGAAGTTAATAAATTGAATAATACAGCTGGAGAAAATAAGAGTTCATGCTGGAATGTGAAATTGCAATGGCCTTAGAATTATTAGCGCTGGATTACAGCACAGGCTGGTTGATGAAATTGATTTTTCCAGTGGTAAGTAATAAATCTCATGATAATGAAAACACAGGATTCTGAAGATCATCATTATCCACACGACAGCTTTACACGACCGAATCATGGCATACTTCTGAATATGAGTATCAGCCATATAAATCTACTGTTTGATTTCCACTTAAAAAAGCCCTATAAATGCAAATAGACTGGAGACTGATATTGGCAGTTATAACACCTTATTCAAGGTTGCATTGACATTGCTATTCTCCAGCCCTATTTTCAAAGACGTGCTTCTCAGTATCACTTGAAAGCTTGCATGTTTTTCACAGCGTGCACTGTAAGACTCATTCACCTTCATCCAGCAAATCCCTGACCTTGCAAAAAATAATTTCTGTTTCTCCTCTTACGCACCCAACATCCATAGCTAAGTCTGCTCCTATTTAGCACACTTACTTTTACAGTGTTGAGGCAGATGGTGAAATCACTTCCCTTACCTGGTTGCAAACATTGCTCTCAAGGATGAGAAGGTTGCCGCATCCTCCTTCAAAGCCTTCAGCTCATTTCGTAGTTTGGTCATGGTTTCAGTCACCATAGCTTTTTCATTTTCGTATTTATTCTTCAGATTGGCTAATGCCACTTCAGCTGTCTGAAAACATAGACAAGGGTATTTGCTTATCACACAGACATCTGATAACAGCTAAGATGGTGCCCTTTCACGCTGTCTTTAAGTTGTACTCCAGGGGTGTCCAATCATCGGCCTGTGGCCTGCACATGGCCTGGCCCAGCCCATCCTGTGGCTGCTCCCTGCCCCACACCATCATGGCAGTGGCTCTTGCCCACCAAGAGGCTCAGCTCAGCCCCAGGCATGCACCCACTGCTCAGCAACAACCAAACACTGGTGTGTGATTGGCAGTGTCTGGGCTGAAACCAGGACAAGGAAGGCACAGTGCAGCACTAACTCAAGTTATGGCAAATAATTTTATGCATTTCGATACATTGGCTAAACACAGTCCTGTGAACAGTGAGCAAAATGCAGCCATGCTTTCCATTTTGATAGAAGAATTTGAGAATAGGTTTCAAGAGTGCTGAAAAAATTATCAAATTTTTGGTATATTTGTGACTGTTTTCAAGAGATAAATACATTACCTGCAAATTTTGAAATGGAATGTATTGAGTTGCAATCAGATGTTCACATCAAAGAAAAATCTGATCATGTCTCTCTACTCAACTTTTATAGGCCCTATTCCACCAGAGAAAGATATCCCTCGCTTCATATTCACACCTTGTTCATGTCATCGCTTTTCGGCATTATGTACATTTGTGAATAACTGTTTTTAGGGAAGAGTAAAATTTCATCAAAAATCTCCAATGAGCACCTTGAGAACTCACTAAGAATTACAACCACTGCCATTGAACCAGACCGATGTATTATTTTCACAAGAACAAGGTCAAATATCCCACTAGTTCCATGTTCATCTCACTTTTTTTTTTTCCTTCTCCAATGTTTTACTTAAAAAATCTAAAAAAATAAGTTTTCTTAGTTATATACATTAACTACATTACATATGTGATATATAGCCCAAGACAACTCCTCTCAATGCGGCCCAGGCACATTGAAGGGTTGGACGCCCATGTTGAGTTCCATGAAGCCAGGGAAAGGAGAAAGCAATTGAAGGCACAAAGCCAGTCCTAATGAGCTGTCTACAACTTGAAACCTTTAATTTCTGTGCAAAACCATGCAGCTGTATGCTGAGGGCTCAGACAAGTGATCAAGTAACTGCAGCTTGAGGAGTTGCTAACACATTTCTGGTTTGCAGTAAGGCACCAAGTGTGTCTGACCATGCTGCTAAGGCATGTTAGACTCAGCCTTTGTAGCTGAGGGCTGGCCTGATGTGGTTTTCTTCATGCACCCTGCCACGGCTTTCTTTGCATGAGGTGACTGCTAGGCTGTGGCAGGTTGTACTTTATTCGACCACTGGCAATACCTACTGTTGCGCAAAACTACATTATGTTGGCAGCTTTAGTAACTACAAAGAAGAAAAAAGAAAGGATAAATTAGAATTTTCATTTAAAAGTAAAGCAAGGATTTGTAGCCACCTAATCCTTAATTTCTCAGCTTCCTTCTTTCTTTCTGTTTTTTCCGTTTCCTCCAATAATTTGCTTTATTTTACTGCCCTACTGCTTATAATAGTTATATTTGTTTCATTTTTGCAAGAGTTGAATCTTTTGTTGAACTGATGAAGTTTAGTATCATTTTGAAGTTATTCAAAATGTTTAAAGATATACATTATCTTTATACCTACTGCTGCTGAGACAGTTTAAATTATTACCGTTGAATGACATGAAGAAAAAACGTTTCCATTGCCTTTAGCAGGGGTGGGGAGGTTATCATTATTTTTTCGCTTCATTTAGTGCAGAATAAATTGTAGCATTTCAGCAATTACTTCTCCCCTTTGAGTACTTGAGCCATCAGAAGGGGAGAGAATTGTAGAACAGCGTTATTTTAAAGCAGCAAGCAAGGGAACATGAAAATAAATGCTAATGATCAAACAGTTGGAAACCTATTTTAAAGTCAGTTGTCTGAACTTGCTGGATTTGTCACTAACAACGTCTCTTAACAAAATGTTAATGTCTGCTAAAACACAATAATTTGCACTTGGGGAAATGGCACAGTTTCAGGCAGCAGCACCACCAAAATTTTACCTTTTTTTTTTTTTTCCACAATTGTGTACTCAACAATAAAGTTATCTCCACTTTCACACTAACTTACATTGAGAGATTTTAAAAAATCCCTAGCAACTACCTGTAATTGTATAGGTATTTGCTGAAAGATTTTCCATGTCAAAGTTGAAATCCTCAACAACTGATTAAAAAAATAACAAACAAAAAAAAACCCCAATAACAACAACAAAACAAAACACTCAGGGATATATTCAAATAAATGTGGCTTTATCAATCCCGGTGACATGCTTTGGTATAATGCAGGATGCTTGACATCACCCTGTGCATTGTTAGGACAAATCAGAAATCATCAGATTTCAGAGCTTTCTGTGTTTTCAGGCATACTAAAATGCACATGTAAATTAACACAGAGAAGAAAGATGAATAATGTTTAATAAAGCTTCTTTTTTGAAGGGAAATCTAGAACACAGTGAGTCGAGGGACAAATTCCTGCTTAACAAGCATGATTAAATCAGATTTACTTACGAATCCTCAGGTCACTAATGAGGCAGAAGTGATTCATGAGAGCACAGCTAGGATTTACAGGTCAAACCGAGTTTGGCCCCAAAGCTGGAATTCAAAGGTCTTTGTTCTGCAAGAGAAATCCAGCGTACTGTCCTTTATATATGACAGTTCAAACAGAATTAATGTAAAGATTTTTCCTTTGCTTAGGAATGAAAATGAGTTAAAGATATGTTCTGTTCCATCTAATGTGAGACTTCTCAAAAAAAAAAAATTGTTTAACTATCTTAGCATTGGGAATACATATTCCCTGTAAACCCAGTAGTTCCACATATCATGGAAACTGCGTGCAAGTACTAGACTGAAACAGTTAAAGGCAATCAGTCCCCTTCCATCTTAATCTTCCAGATACTTTTCACAACCAAAATTCTCTCTCTGTCCCAGTAGAGACTGAAGGGGAAAATATCCTGTACCAGAGAATTTCATGAAGAGCATCTCCTCTGTGTGTTCTGGCTGGGTAGGCTGACAGAGCAAAACAAAGTTTCAGTGGCCACAATCCAAATGACCTGTTTGCTCTGGCTATTTTACACTCCTAGAGAAGTGAGCTGGAATGCATAAGCACTGCGGTTTCAAACTTGGCAATGTTTCATCACTGCCTTTGTTCTGAAAATATTAGTAAAACATGATCTCAGTATTTTGAAGTGGGAAAGCATGAAGCTAATAAATGACTTCTGCTTTTCCTGTAGACTATCAACAATTTTCTACGCAGTAGCTTTCTTGAGGCTACTGGGTAGAAAAATTACTTTCCAGGTGTTAGAACCTTGTGAAAGTGTATTTTTCCATCATTAATGCCTTAAAGTAATTGTGTTATAATAAAAAATGAAAGCATGTAAAATATGACAAAATTCACATTTCATCATAAAACAACAAAGACTTCAACAGTTCTTTCTCTTTGTTAACTATTTTAAAAGGCTCCTCATATGCTCATTATATATACCAGACAAGTTCTTAACACTCTCCTTTGCAGGCTGCCAAGGGTCTCTCTCTGCAAGTTTCCTAAGAATGGGTGGCACAAGTTCAGTATCAGCAAAGTAAATAAAACTAAGAAAAATGTGTTTTTAATAGGGAAGACGAAGCAGGGAGGAATTCTTCTAGAAACCTGCAGCCAGGCAGCCAGGGCCAATGGAGCAGAAGGGCATCACATTCATGCAATGCTCATCTCCCTCCATCAGTCCTTGCAAGAGCTGGTGAGCTCCAGACTGTGCACATCTCAGGTTACCCAGAGCTCATCGGTTTGGGACCTGGATGCTGACCAAAGCTGACTGCTATCAGACTCCTCGGCTCTAAGGATGCAATGTAACTAAGTCAATTTATATTGTCTAGCTGCCACTGAAGGATTAATTACCCAGCTTTTCCCCAACCATACCTTTTGCACACCAGATGGTTTTCTTCTCTGCTTACCGTGAGTCAGTCCGGGGAGCCAAGCAGGCAGAAAATGAGCCTGAGGTACCTCAGAGTCAGGACGTGCAACGGGGAAATAGATGAGGAGAGAAAAGGCAGTTGGATCTCCTCTTTCAGAGGTACCCAAGTATCTGGTCCCCTCCACTGCACTGCTAGGCTGTGCCATGGATAGCATGCTCAGGAATACGGCCAACTGAAGACACAGCTTCATGCTGCGCTTCCTCCAGCAACAAATCTAGCCTAAAAACTGAGTTTGTCCTTCCTCACTGCCGATCTCCAAGACTGTCAGCTGAATCGTGTGGCTGTGCCAAGAACCAGTTCTGGGGAATAATCCAGGATATTAAAAACCTGGGGAAAGTGCTCTGAAAGTGAGGAGGGGGCAAACAAAAGTATATGTGTGCAAGCAAGGGGTGCCAGAAGGAAGCAGGCACCCAGGGCCCAACTGCTTTTAACTGCTCTTTCTGAAGAGCTGTTACAAGTCAGCAGTTACAAGCAAGATGAGAATCCAAAGAAGCCAGCACAGCTCACTAAGGACAGATCACACCTGACCAATCTGGTGGCCTTCTATGATAGAGTGACAGCATCGATGGTGCAAGGAAAGGCAACTAATGTCATCTACCTGGTCTTGTATATGGCCTCTGACCTTATACATATCCTTATTCCTGAACTGGAAAGATATGGATTTAAAGGGTGGACTATTCAGTGGATAAAGAACAACTTAGATAATTGCAGCCACGGGGTTGTGGTCAGAAGTTCTATGCCTAGGTGGAATTTAGTCACAAGTCCTCCCAGGGATCCATCTTGGGACTGGTGTTCTTCAGTGCCTTTATCAATTACCTAGACAGTGGGATTGAGTGCATTCTCTGCAAGTTTGTAGACAACACCACACTGAGTGGTGTAGTTGATACAATAGAAGGAAGAGATGCCATCCAGAGGGACCAGATCAGGCTTGAAAAGTATGCCCAGAAGAAACTAATGAGATTCAACAAGGCCAAGTGCAAGAAAGGCTAAGGGAACTGGGCTCATTCGGTCTGGAGAAGAGAAAGCTCCAGGGAGACCTCACTGTGGCCTTCCAGTACTTAAAAAAGAACTTCTAATCAGGAGGGAGACTGACTTTTTACATGGTCTGCTATTGACAGAACAAGGGGGAAAGGTTTTAAACTAAAAGATAGGAGATTTAGATTAGGTGTTGGGGGGAAATTTTCCACTCAAAGGGTGATTAGGCACTGGCACAGGCTGCCCAGAGAAGCTGCAGATGCCCCATCCCGAGAGACATTCAAGCCAGGTTGGATGGCGCCCTGGGCAGCCTGATGTAGTGCCAGATCTAAGGCTGCCCACAGCAATGGGGCTGAAGCTAGATGATCTTCAATGTCCCTTTGAAGCCATTCTATGATTCTATGACTCTGAAGCACTTGGCTTTAAGTGGGTGGGAATTACAAAGACATATCAGAGAAATTAGAGAACTTTACTCCACACCAAAATGCAGTGTCTGAACAGCACACAGAGAAATGGAGAGCACAAGTAAAAGATGAAGACGGGAAAAATACATGAACACTCTGTGGTGAAGTACGTAAAGCAGCAGGAGAGGGGCTAACAGCAGTGCTGGCAGGAGACCATCCAGTGCCAAGGAGTGGAACAAGTGAATTTGGTTGCTCAGCCTGTGCCTGTAGTCCCAGCGCTAGCTGCTGGCAGAGAACTTTGCTACTGCTGTCCAAAGAATGGTGCCTGAGAAGAAGGCAAGGAAGGAGCAGAGAGCTCCAACACCTGGTCTCCTGACAGTGTGAAATGCCGGCAGAGATGTGGCACACCATGCCTAGCACCTCTGTCCATCAGAATCCAGCAATGCAGGTTAAGTTTGGGGGGGGAGGGAGAGGAGAGGGGGAGAGGAGAGGTGAACACATGTCAGAAGTGGTGATGTTGTTTCCATGCCCTTCCTTATCCTTACAGAAGAGAAGCGTGCCCAAATTCAGCTTCCTAAAGGTTGCCCTCAGCAAATCTGTGAACACACCTCATATCCTTGGATATTCCATATCCTAGGAAGACTTTATCTCATTTATTTTATACTAAAAGAAACAAACCAAATAATAATAATAATAAAAAGCTGCAGAAAAAATATTAGCTGCTACAGTGGTAAGTACAAGAAAGGAGAACAGCCACCTGCCATTTTAGTGCAGAAATCCTATGCGGTACTCAATCTTTCCACCAGTGACACTGGACAAAATCCACTGCACAATGTCTGTGTAACATCTGAGCTTTTGTTTATGGATCAGATGTTGCATACCCGGGGTTATTCAATTATGTTTTCTGAACTTTACAGTATCTCATTTATGGAAGCTGCAAGCATCAGAGTTACTGCCAATACAGACAAGAAGGTCTTGCTGACTCAGTTCCTTCCCATGCAACTATTTACCTGCAAAAGCAACCAATTATTTTTCAGTTGGAATTTAAATTACATTTCTCTCACAGGCAGCTCTGCTTTCTGTTTGTTGTTAGACACCAAAATCAAAACCATTATTGAATTGGTCCTAAAAGGTATTATACAATTCATTTCATATTACTTTACAATTTATTCTCCTTGTTAATACTAAAGCTATTTGGTTTTGCTCCATGAAACTGGTGCTGACATAGCTATTATGGCTACAAACAGACACATACATCATGATCAAATCAAGCAAGCAAGCCAACAAGATATTACAACTTGCTATCTCAAACTGTTGATTTGTTTAATAATCAATTTCCTTGGTCTTAGGTTTAGAGCAGATTCTTACAGCAAATTTCATCTTCTTTTCTGGGTTATAGTGTTCACTGTCTTCTATTTCTGTCTCAGTCTAACACTGAAACGTTGATTTGAAAATATTTTCAAAGAAAACATAGCTAGAATAAAAAGACTTTAGCATTAAATATTGCCAAATGGATTGAGCTAGGCAATGGCTTGTCAGGTTCAAACAGAAATTTATTGCATGCTGTTAAAGATTTAAAAGCTCTAACTGCACTGCCACACTGCCAGGCCTGCTGAAAAGGAGAAACAGAGAGCCCTTCTATGCTTTCCTGCAATCAGGTAACTTACTGTAAAGAGAAGTGAATACAGTTCGTTGCTTTGCTCTTCTGATGAACCATGTGCCCCTGTGCCTAGGTAACAGAGGACGGCAGCACCCAGCAATGAAGCACGTGGCCGGGAAGGCTGTTCATTTAGGTGATGCTGCAGTACTTGAGGTGGTCACTAGATGGCAGCAATGCTTCCCTAATTAAGGGTGCGACTCCATTATCCAAAACCAACTCTGAATACAAGGTCCGGGGCTCTGCTGCTGGTCTCCCCATCCAGATCTTAACGGTGGGACTCTCTAGGAAGATACTGCCATTTTTTCAATGTATTTGATTGTGCTCATTTTGCTTTCTGGCATTATTTAAACCAGAAAATCACCTTAGTATCCTTGCTGGTTGCACCACCAACAGCTCTTTGTGGCAGCATTTCCACAAAGCAGGCCAGGAGCTGAGCTGCCAGCTGTGGCAGCTGGGATGAGGGAGGACACATTCAGCTCCTCTGCCTCTGTGCCTCTGCACAACATACAGCGTGAAAAGACATAACTGCATAACAACACCAGCTTCACTGGGCTTGCTTAGCTTGTAGAAGAGAAGGCTCTGGGGAGAGGTCATTGCAGCCTTCCAGCTCTTGAAGGAATCTTATGAGCAGGATGGAGACTTTATGCACAGACTAATAATGATAGGACAAGGGGGAATGGCTCTGAACTAAAAAAGGGGGCATTTAAGTTAGATGTTAGGAAGAAATGCTGTATTCAGAGGTCAGTGAGGCCCTGGCACAGTTGCCCAGAGAGCTGTAGGTGCCTCAACAGTGGAGACATTCAGGGCCAGGCTGGATGGGGCCCTGGGCAGCCTGAGCTGCTGGGTGGCAGCCCTGCCTATGGCAGGTCGGGCTGGGTGGGCTTTGAGGTCCCTTCCAACCCAAATCATTTCCAGGCTGGATGTGGCTCTGGGCAGACTGGTCTGGTGGTTGGCGACCCTGCACACAGCAAGGTGGTTGAAACTTGATGATCACTGGGGTCCTTTTCAACCCAGGCCATTCTATGATTCTATGATTTCATGATTCTACAATGCTCTAAGCCAATCACAACTGAAGCTTTTGAAGTTTTAGAGAAAATGCAAAAACCTGAACCAGATGTTCTCTGTGGGCTCATCTAAACAAAATGAATTGATGAAAAATATTCCCAACCTATTTCTGCTTACAAGTTTTGTTTTGAAGGGAGGAACTCAAGGGAATTAATCTTGACTCATGTTTCCTGAACATGAGATGTGCTTTGGGTTCTTGGGACACACTCATCACCAGAGACTGGCAGTACTGCTACAACACAGTTGTACTAACCTCCCATCTCTCTAAATTTCTACATCTCTGTTGTATTATCATGCCTTTTAACTTGAAAGTTTGAGGAAATTACTATTAGGCTTGCATGAACAGCACTGCAAGAGTTGATACACAGTTGAACAGTTGCTGATACTTATAAAAGTACTTTTAAAAGTTCTGAGCACAGTTTAAGATGCTCAATTTCTGAAAGTAGTAATGATAATAAAAACATTATAAGAGAGTAGGACTTAGCCACATTCTCTTCTAGTATCACTAAATAAATGATAGCTCTATGCTAATGGAAAAAGTGTTTAATTTGGAATCTAAAGCCATATACTTCAATTACATCTTAATTACATGGAAAATCCTCCTATAATTGCTCAGGGCTATTATTGCTTTGCTAGGCATGGTACTTGATTAATTGAATTAATATTTAACGTGTTGTATTGCAGAGAGGGAAGAAATGCTATAAAAGACTCAACATATATTGACATATAGCTGCAATTTAAGAATTCCCAGTACCTAGAAATGCAGTTGCAGATCCAATCAACAATTAAATTTGAATTTTAACTTCAGATCACCTGACCATTGGGAATTTTAACACAGAAATCCTATCACTGTCATTGAAGAATGGGATCCCATTCCATTAACCAGCATTTATGCCCCCATGTGGTGACCACAGCATTACTGAAGATGGAAAAAGTCCTTGCAGCCTCTTACATTCAGACTTAATTTAGACTTAATTTGGAGCATAAGGAGACTAACTGTAGTAAATACAATTTCATGCTTATATTTAACTTCTAAATTGCTTGCAGACCCAGAATCTATTAGATACACAGTGTTTGCGAGGATACAGCAAGCAAAAAAAATTGTGAGTACTCTTGAAAAGTACACCATTGTGAGGTGTTCTTTCTGCATTTTATATAGAATGTTCCAATTCTCAACTTAATTACATTGGTGTAACAGCAATAATAAAGTGGGTTGTTGATTTTTTAAACTACCAAAAATTTCAAAATAATGAGGTTTTTCTGTTCTTAGAAAATATAACTCCATCATGAATCCTTCTTTTAAAAAAAAAATGGCAGTTACTGTTTCAGGTAGTTTTCTCATGCAGAGATACCCCTTTTCTTAAAAACAAAACAGAAAATAGTTCAATTTCCCAAGGGATTAAAAACACAACAATGGAAGAAGTTATAAGAATAAAACAAAAATCATTCTAAAAATTGCAATGACCTGTAAAGAAAATTACTCTGCATTTAAACCTGTGTTTTATCACAGAAATGCCCAGCTCCTGTACAGTCCAAAGTGACCGCTTGCACTCTTACAACTGCCGTTCTCCTCCTGAGGAGTGCTTTAGCTTTGCAACATTTATTTTAAATGCTTGAATTTGACAGTGGGTATTCAAGATTTGTGGCCAGTGGAGTGCTACAGAGAACAAGAACGGGTGCTAGAAAACACAGAGCTGAAAAGCTTACGGGTGACAAGGCAGAAAGGCCTTCCCTCACTGTGATGGAGTGAAAGGCTCAGTAACCTGTGAGTGAAACCTCTCCACTAAAAAAACCTCTTGGGAAGGCTTGCCAAGCGACCTGTATAAATAACAGACACTCCCGACCTCCTGCTTTATTGGCACCTTACCTGCTTGTTGGCTTTCAGCACTGCTCTCAGGGTTGCTATCTGCTCCCGCTTTGTACTCAGGAGGGATTTCAGTTTCAGAATCTCTTCCATTAAGGCCTCCTTGTCTTTATCAATCATGGGCGCCAGCTCCCGGGCTGCAGCACGTTGGCGCGACAGCTGCAGCGACCGATCTACAGCTTTCTGCAAATGCTTGATTTGGTCCCTTATTATGGCGTTGAGGTTGTAGATGTTCATCGGCTCTTTGCGAATGTCACTGCTGTCGGAGACTGGGGAGGAAGGAGGGGCAGTGATGACAGGGGAAATTGTAGGTGTTTTCGTTGGGCTCTGCTCCTTGCCAGGCTCTGGGGCCTCTTTTGTCACCTGCTCGGTCGGAGTCCTGGCTTCTACAGGCGATGCCATTCCCCTTCTGGCAAGCCGAGGGGAAAGGAGACCCCGTGGGTCATCTGGGCCTTTCAGGCTGCCACTGCGGGTAACTCTGCTCTGCCTGTAATAGTCCAACATGACCCTGTTAGGTGTCTCGTTGTTGCACAGGCAGACGTGATGGTAGAGCTGAGCCAGCTCCTCGCTAAACGTCACCAGCTCGTCCTGGGCGGTGTTGAGGGTATTGTGGTTTTCATTCGCTATGCTTGTCATCCTTTGCAACTCCTTTTCCATATGGACCATCTTTTCCTGGCTTTCCTTGGTTGATTTCTCTAGGCTTGTCACCTGTTCATCGTAAGTCTGGATTCTGCTCTCATACTTGGCCTTTTCTTCAGTGTAGTTTTCCACATAATTATTATATTTCTCCTTTAAGGCTTTGATTTCTGCTTTAAGGTCTATCACTTCCGTAACAGCTACTTTATATTTACATTCTAGGATCTCCAAACCATTGATGTCCACTTCATAGTCGTGTGCTTCCTCGCTGGGGTCTCGCCCCTTCTCACAGTCATGCTCTGCTTTCAGCTCCTTGTTGCTCTGCAGGCCCCTCATGGCGTTGACGTGCTCCGTGAGCCTGTGGACTCGCTCATGTTGCTCGGTCAGGGCTCCTTTGGTGTGCTCCAACTGCGTCTGAGATTCCTGCAGGTTGGCCAGGAGAATGGCCTTTTCTCTTTCCACCTGCAACAGAGTCAAAGTAAAACACCCGGCATCTCATCCTACCCGTGCTCTTCTGCTCAACACCAAGCAGCCATTCACCACTTCCACTCCCACATTCTACACGTACATCTTGAGCGGTTCCAGAAACCATAAAATTCAGTGGATGCCCCTAAACCATAAAATTAAGTGTGCTACCATTTGCAGCTTTGCTAGGTCACAATTTTACACGTTGCTCACTGAAGAATTACTGCCCAAGCACTAAGGGTAGTCAGCTAGAGTAATGATACTGGAGTGATCAACACACATGTTCTGTGAAATTTAATAGGCATAATTGCATCGTTGCCACTTATAACATGTTACACTGATACATTTTACTGACACGTTTATATTTTCCATGAGTAGCTTTACCATCCTTCATGATTTTTATCTATATCTTTGAAAATTTCATGAAGGAGGGCATGATTTCTGAATGCAAATACAGTAAATAAATAGCTGTGTACATTTGCACTATTAGATTAAATAACTTGCACCATGTGCAAGTGTAACACAGACCAGGAACCTGAGCACATGCATCTTCCAGGAATCCCCATTCCCAGCAGTCCCCTGTTAACAAAATCCACTCTTTTAAAGACAGTGCAGAAGAAAATGAGATTTACAATGTAACTAACAATCCACCGATTCTGACCTAGTAAGTTCCTTTCTGAATATTGATAGAGAAATATGGAGTTGAAAAGAAGAAGAGGTACTGGAGGACTCTTTTGAAGTTTTAATACACAGCATCTTAAAACAAGCAAACAAGAAAAACTTGATGTTTTATCTGCTCAGATATTCACTGTTATGATGATACCTGTGAATGAATCTCATTCTTAAATTTTAGTGTAGTACTCCAACTTCTTTTTTTTTTTAATCAGCCTTTGTCCTTTTCTGAGCTGTGAATTGGGAAGCAGATAATATAGAATGCTTCTTGCTCTCATGGCTTTTGCAGCAGGATCCAGAGCCTATTAGGCTGACTGCTCTTTTTCTCTCACTGCTGTGGTATTTCAGCCCAGTGTTTACATTTTGTGCAGACAAAATGTTGTGTTCCACACTTCAGCCACATTGTGAGCAGCTGAATTACTAATTCAGAGAACTCAACACTGTCCCTTCTGAAGGGTCCTTCAAAAAGCACTGCCTTCTCTATCAGCATCCCTCCAGGCAGCATTTGGAAGAGTCAAAAGAGCCACTGTGAAACTCAGTGATGGAAAAGAAAAGGTTTTTAGAGACTCTGAGGATATTAATGCCATCTCACAAAATGTTCCAAGCAGTGGTTCAGACTCCTATTATCTCATAACAAGGCTTTCGAACAGTGGCTGCTGCTCAAAAATACCAAAGCACTAAGACTTATGATGATCCCTTGGTTTTACAGACAGACTTTCAAAACATGGTTTCAATTACTACCTGCAATGGATGGCAGGTAAAAATTGTAAGGACAAAAATAGAAGCCAAGTTGAAAACATCTCAAAGTTGGCCTCATTTTTTTATGCACAGGTGACTGATGACTCAAGAAGGAAAAAAAACAGGGTGAAAGCTCATCATTATTTTATGATCCAAAAAATATCAGTCTCTTTAGATAAAGGGAGCTCTACATAGGCACTGCATAGTCTGTGCTGTAGCCCAGAGGAGGACAGCTGAGGGCAATGAGTACATCATCAATACAACTTGCTGCCCCCATCTGTCTTTAACATGCATTACCAAAGAGCAGGCCTTCCATTAAGTAACGTGGTGTTAAAGAGGCACTCTGTTGAATGTCTGCCTAATTTCATCAGACAGAACCGATACTGATGGATTATTGATCTCAGCCATCATGAAGAAAAACTGTATCTGAGATAGTAGATATTTTTATGGTCATTCTTCTGCTGAACATAAATGGCTTCTGGAAACAAATACGTCTTTCAAATAGAAAGGATTGTTTCCAGAGAAAACACACAAATTTAAAACCCACCTGCCAGCTTGGACAGTAGGTAAATTGAAATACACAGACCTACTGAATTTTATTCATCCTAGTCCAGTAATTATGGATGAAGCTAATCCACTTCTGTTTGACAAAAAATACGTGCTCCTACTTCCAAGGAGAAAAGAACAAAGCTCCAACTGCACTTAGAGTACTCCTTCTGAATAGTAAGACCTCTGCTGTTCTTAGGGACAGAAATTGTGTTTCTTGTTTGCAACATACTTTTATTTCCACACAGAGCAAATTTTTGGGAATAGACTACCATGTTTCAGTCTGTTCATTTGTTTCTGACAAAATTAGTAGCTGCAGAAATTATCCATACCATCGTCTTAAAATGGAAATAAAAGCAATTCAAAAGCAGTTGCACCTATTTTGAAATGCACTCTTCCTTTCAAAGATCTCAGCTGGATGAGACTTCCTTGCAATCTGTTTGATAGTTTGCAGTTATGAAAGCCAATTTTATCATTGTTATTTATCTCTCACCTCTTCTAGGAACCAATACAAAACACATAGTGCTAGCATCCCAAAGTTGCAAAAGGAACTTTGCCTATCATGCTAGATCTTCTGGTACATGTTTCTTTTTGAGATTGCAGAGTGAAAAACTTGCCAAACACAGGTAACAAAAGGGAAATCTGAAGTTTCATTCTCTCAGAAAACAAGCCCACTGTCCTAATCACATAAGCATACTTCCCAAGAGAGGGTCATGTTCAGCAGCTCTATCATAATACATCTTTGAGTAAATGAGAGGAGCATATGCCAAATGTTGAGATATAACTGTCTGAATGCCACATGGCAAAGACATTGCTAAGGAGGAAAAAAAACCAAACAATTTTGTTAAAGAATTACCTTTTGTCAGCTTGAACCCAATTAAATCTCCCATTTACTGTGGAGAAAAATTTTGGAGGAATTTTACACAGTTAATTTATGTGACTCAAAGTGAGTTGAGACAACCTAACAGAGAAGATGATTGCTTTAAAAAGAGAAAACGTCAGCAGCTTGCAGCAAGCTGTCCCAGTATCTAAATAAAAGTGTCCTGCTAGGCCTGTCTCCCTTTTTCAATCCTTTTAACATCCCTACAATGCTGAATGATGTTGAAGGCAACTTACGTAAGTTTGCTCAGGCTCAAGAAAGCCACTGACACCAAAAAATGGTTATGTTTATTTTCTAGGCTCCTTCTAGGGTCCTAGGACAGTTTCTGGCTGGGGAGCATCAGAAAGCTGACTGTTTGTTTAAGAAGCATACAAAAAATAAGCAATGTTAAAATCAGAAGCAACAAAAACATTTGCAATAACTTTCAAGTAGAAGTTTGCTGATTCATCATGCTCAATATTCAATAAATCAAGACAAAATACCGCCAAAAAGTCATGTTTTTTCCATTTTCAAACATCTTTTGTTACGTATTTATTTTGCATTTACTTAATTGTAAATTATGCTTGAAAATAATTGAGATACATATTAAAATGTGAATATTTCAAAGATTTTTTTCTGAAGTTGTGTATTTCTTAGCACTGTATTTCTGAATGAAATCAAAAGATGCCTGTAACATGTACATAAAACATATGCATAAATGTATACATACACATGAATCTTCATTCAAATGAATATTTAACCAAAATAAACATACAAATTCTATTGTAATACTGGAATAGTTCTCCCCAGAATTTTTCACAGGAGTGAAGTTCCTAATTTCAAGCTTTTCTAGTTAAATTATGAACTTTCTGCATCAAAGCTATCTGCACAAAGCAATAGATATCATAAACATTTCCCATGTCAAAGCTCAGATCAAAACTTCCCATGCTGTGTTTGGCAATGAAGTAAATAAAACAACTAATGCTTCAACAAATATAGGGCAGCCTGTGTAGGGATTTATTATTCTTCAGCAAGAGCTGCAAATTGGGCTTCTTCACCTTCACCTCCAAATAGTTTCTTGTATTTTAAGTAGGCATCACTCTAGAAGGGGTACTTTTGACAGTGCCCAGCTAGAAAGCGCTGGATGTTTCCCTGAAGGTGCCAAACCCTTTCAAAGCTCTACTGGCAGAACTGATGTTTCACAGCTCAGGCAGAGGGACCCCCTCACTGCATTGCACTGTATCCCGTCTAAGATGAAGTCAGCACTGGGATGTCAACTTGAGTTTTTATCTGGCTCACTCCACAGACTCCTGTTCTGGATATGTCTGGGCTGAACTGGAGAGCACAACAAATTTAGCAAGAGCAAGTGTAGGATTCTGCATCTGGGAAGGGGCAATCCAGGATCTATGTACCGACTTGGGGATGAGAGGCTGGATAGTAGCCCTGTGGAAAGGGGTTTTGGGGGTTATGGCTGATGGCGAGTTGCATCTGCGTCAGCAGTGTGCCCTGGCAGCCCAAAGGGCCAAACTATGCCCTAGGGTGTCTCAGGAACAGCACTGACACCGGGCGAGGGAAGGGGTTGTCCTGCTCTCCTCTGCACTGTGCAGCTTCACCTTGAGCACTGGGTGCAGGTTTGGGTGACACAGTAAAAAAGGACATAAAACTCTGAGAGAGTGCCCAAAGGAGGGCTGCCTAGGTGGTGAAGCATCTGCAAGATAGAGTGTGTGAGGAGCAGCTCAGGGCCCTGGGTTTGTTCAGCACAGAGCAGAGGAGCTGAGGGGAGGCCTGATGGTGATTGCAGCTCCTCACAGGGAGCGGAGGGGCAGCGCTGAGCTCTGCTCTGTGTGACAGCGACAGAACCCAGGGGATTGGCAGCTGGGGGTTAGGGACAGGGTCTGAACCAGAGGGCGGTGGGCATGGAAAGGGCTGCCTAGGGCAGTGGGCATGGCCCTGAGTGCCAGAGTTCAAGGAGTGTTTGGACAGCACTGTCAAACATAGGGTTTGGATGCTGTGCAGATGCTTTGGTGGTGCCGTGTGGGTCCAGGAGCTGAGTTTGATGATCCTTGTGGGTCCCTTCCAAATTGGGATATTCTATTATTCTAATGCTAGGTATTAAAAGAAATGCTCCTCTCCTTCTGTTCTCTCTTGATGGTCAAATCTTGCTCAAACTGCATTTATTGGCAAGTCTGTCTGTATTTCAGTGTTATTTCTTTTTCTAGAAAGCTTTGTCATTCTGAAGAGTACTTGATTCCACTTGCAACCTCAGAGACATCTCCGCTTATTAAACAGAAGAGAATCCAACTATCTGCAACTACAATAACTAAATTACTTCCTCCTCTTCCCCTTAAACATCAGCTCAGCTTATACCAATTCTGTGCAGACAGGAATGTCTTTTTGGGTTATCTTTAGCAAAACCTGAATATGGAACAAAAAGTCTGAGACGTGACATAGTCTAGAACATCACTGAGAGAAGTTGAGGTCATTGCAAAAGCTGGCACCAGGGTCCATATGAAGTGTGTCCAAAAGCTTTACGACATTAAATGAAACTCTTACCTGCATGAGTTGCTGCTTCAGTTTCTGTATTTCTGATATGTTGAGCTCACTGAAGAGATCAGAGACGGGGTGCAGAGATTCTCCTTTCCTACTCGTGGGAGTTCGGTAGTCACCGTTAAGTTTCACAAGAGACCCGTGGATATGTCCATTCATTTTGTCATCATTGTTGGGCTCACTTGTATCTTCTGCAAACTTTAATCCATCTACTGATATATTAATATGATTATTATACATACTATCATTGAGGTTGATGTACTGGGAGAGTTCCTTTCTCAGATTGTTCTTTTGCTCCCTTTCATTTTTTAAAGTTTCCAGAGCTTCCTCCAGCTGATGCTCAGCAATCTCCTTCAGCCGGATGGCATCTTCTAGCTGACTATTAAGTAATACTGTCTCCTCCTCAAATCGTTTAATCTCATGCTTTAAGCCTTCGTATTCAACCTGAATTAGACAAGACAAAGAACATTCATAATACTAAAACTTGAGTCATGAAAACCTGCCATTTATCAGCCCTATTGAAAGAAGTGCTACAGGAAATGCAACATGAAATACCACATATTGCCTGCAGCTGCAAAGAATTGTCTCCATAGAAAATGTATGTGGAGCTCTCACTGTCGAAGATTCCACCACCCATTTTTTCAACATGGGGAGAATCAAGGAACATTGTACTTTTTTCCAAGTAACTTATGACTTAAGTAGGTCCAAAAGTACTGCCTCCTATTTATTTCCATGGAAAGTAAAGTGGATACAAAGAGCACAGTAACACTACTTGATAGAGTACATTCTCAGCTCCAAAACACTATCCTTCATCACAGACATCACCGTTAGCTGTGCATTTTTCTGCCAGAAATGAACAAGAGTCTGCGTACTGAGCTCATAAATATCTGCACAGCCACCCAGAACACAGCTTATCTTTCACTTCGTTGTCACCACTGCTGAAACTCACCACCCATCCCTTCACTGTGCTCATATCCCTTGTTTGGTGTTCATAAACATTCAGCAAGCATTGATGAATATCGGTGAGTGCCATTTTTTCCTCATGGAGGAATACAGTGGCACATTTTTGCTTCATATGTACTTCCATGTCAGATGCCATTCTGCCAGACTGCCCCTCTGCTGCCATCTGTCACACAGCAACAAAATGTAATGGAATATTGTTGGTAAGGCTCAATCTCTACTGCTATACCAACAACAACCACCTGAGATCATGGGCCAACATAATAAAATATGTGGCATTACCTTCAGAGCAGCCCTCATACTTCATGCAGATGTGTTTTTATTACGAATTACCAAAAGCAACATTGGTATATCATGGTATGTATAGATCTCAGGTTAATGTAATCTGATTTATTAATGGCAAGTGTTCTGCAGAATACTTCGTATCTAAATATTTACCAGATGTAAAGTCACTCAGGCATGGATATTCTAAAGTGTCTGGGTGTCTTACTAGTGTTCAAAAATATTGAAGGAAAAGACAGAAACTGCAGGATATTCCCAGCTCTCTTCTTTGTGTTAAATGAGATTCTCCTTTATTCAAGAGGTATTTCGTTTGAAGAATTAAACAGCAAACTATTCATACAATCCCTTTAAACTCTAAGATCCACTTTTTAATTTCTAAATGCCAAAAATTCCCCCTGTTGGGTGAAATAATGTAATGGCTTGATGAAAGAAGAAATATTGAACTTTCATGCTTCTATTAAAAAATAAATAAATCTTTTTTCAGTTGACACATTTCTAATATAATGCATTAACATGTATTACTATGTGCAATTTTAAGGCATTGTCTAGAATGCTTCTCATTTATATTTTTATTTTCAAACTATATTAAGGTTCTGGTGAAAACAGAAACATCAACCATTTCTTTTGGAGTGGCACGTTTGCCAACCTGTCAAAAGTTTTACAGCTAGAAGCCTTTGGGAAGGAAAGCTTAAAACACAAAGCACCAATCTTCAAACAAAGAGAATGAAAAAGATTCAGACAACAAATGGAGTTCATAAATTATGTTGGGAGATGCTAAGTAGAAAAGGGAAATCTGGGCATTTTGAAATTTGCATTTCCTGGTGTATTCGAGTGGAGGGAAAGGGCCATCTAAAAAATTGTGACATTCAATCATTTGATATGCTTATTATTTGATATGTTTATAATTTAAGGGCATGAAAAACTGGAGGTCTATACAGTAACCAATTCATGGATGCTTTCCTACAAAAGCTACCAAACAAAAAAATAAACAAACAACCCCTCCCAGAAAACAAACCAACAAGGAGATTATGACAATTTCTCTACATGACTTGCAACATATCATTTTGTAAACAGCAGTAGTATAGTACAAAATTGCTCTTGATATTTTACTCTGTAGGTCAGAATTGGTTCTGGTATCACAAGTGCATGGGTTTGTGATACAAAATGACTGATTTTTTAAGTCGTTCTCAATGCAAAAGTGCTTTTTTTTCTCCCCATATTCCGGCATTTGACTCCATTACGAATGAAGTATATATTGTATACAAATACAAACACTGGCAAACAGATTTTATTCTGGCAGAAACTAGCATGGCCTGTAAAGTGGTTTTTATTTTTTTTTCCTGCAAAAATGCCTCCTATGAGCTTGGTAAGGAAAAAATAGATGCCTCCATGAGGGAATTTGCTGGCTTGGTAAACAACTGACACAAAGATGAGCTGATAGAAATTCAGTGCTAGGAGCATGAAAGCCTGGGTCATAAATAAGGGAACACCATACTCACTTGCATTGAGTAATTACCTGTGCATTCCCTGTGCATTACCTGTGCATTCCCTGCGGCTCTGCTCCATTGTTCTAAACGTTTCAATTGCATTTGTGCTAGCAGGGTAGAATAGCAAAGATAGATGAAATAGTGCTGCATATTCCTGCATATTCCTGCAGGAATAAGTAAGCTAACAAGCAGTAAGAAATTGGCAGCCTTGGCTATTTGTTAAAAGCCCTAATGGAACTGTTTGCTAGGCTGGGATGTAACACAGGGGCTGCAGAGCAGTGCTACTGCAATTTGGTGGAAGTTGGGGAAATTCTCTTCCTGCATGTGATGTTATGTTGGTCTCGGAAGTGTCTAAAAGAAACTTTCATCCTCCAACTTACTTATTTATCATGGCAAGCTCGGTTTTCTGACATGAGAACAAATTTCTTCTGTTCAATTTAAAAGACAACTGTGTTTGTGATGACTTCCTCAGCAGTGTTTATACCCAGCAGCAAAGGAAGCTGTGCTTTGTAAGGGAGAGAGGGCAGATCCAGCTGCTTTTTGCATCTTGACTTAATGGGGCTGTGATTTATGGTGGTTCCTGGGGGCACGCTCTGCACTGCAGCGAGTAACACAGCACACTGCTTTGCTGTCAGCTGCACCTCACTGCCACAGGGAAAACATGAAAGACAAACTAGGAGTACCTGACATCCCTTTTCCTATTTTTGGAGCTTGTCAAACTTGTTGGTTAGCATTGCTGAGCAGAGAGGAACAGTGGTAATGGAAAACCCAGGAAAAAAAAAAATGAAAAAAATGGAGTAGACAATGTCCTCCTTTCTCCACTTCAGAAGAGGAAGCAGAGCAAGGGAAACAAAGTGAGAGGAAATGGAGGGCTGACCTATCTCTTCTGCTGGGCATAGAGGTCAGTGTGCAGAGAGAGATGGCAGGAAACACAGGAAGGGAAGAGATGCAGCCTTGGCTGCGGTAACAATGATCCCCCTGTTACAAAGTTCTGCACAGAAATAGTCCCTCAGAGTTTTCCCAAAAATGAGGAAAGGGTCTCCCCATATGTCAAAAATGGCCTGTAGCACTGCTGCAGAATGAATAAGTGTCAAGCGAAAATCTAACCAAAGAAAAACAACAAACCGCCACACAAAGAAACTTCTATCAAAATGCTTTGCTGGATCACATTATGGAAACCTGAGAAAATGGTCTCTTTTCCAGCACAGCACCTAGTATCTCCCAGTGCTTACTTGGTTCTGTTTCAGTGTGGATACCAGCTTCTGCAGAGTGATATTTTCTTCTTCCAGTTCAGTGTAGTCCTGCAGGAGCCTTGCCTCTCGAAACTTGTACTCGCGAATTTCATCCTTCATTCGTATCCTCTGCAGTTCCACCATTTCATTATTCTGGTAAGAGAAAATGCAAGAGCATTACCATTGGTGCACAGCCCTTTTAATGACTGAAGCTGCCTCCAGAAAAAGTCAAACAAGAAAGTAAACCTCAAATAGAAAGGATTTCAATGTGCAAATCAAATCTGTAATTGATCTGGGGTAAAACCAAACTTTCAGGCGAGCACTGGCAGCACAGTAATGAGAACATCTGATAAGGAAGCTTGATTAAAACATTTTCCAGATTAGATGTTTATTGAAATGGTAAGCCTGGCAAGGCTTTATCATCTCATTAGTTTCATTGCTCAGAGACTCTGTTGAATCTAAATAAAATTACCATCCGATTTCCACCAAAAGAAACTCTCTACATTCATACAGCAAAGCAGTGAATAACAGCATCTATTCTGCAAAGACAGCTGCTACTGAGCAAGACCCATGTGCACACTTGTATCTGCAGGCACTAGTCAGAAGCACAGGGGGGACCTGGCATGCAGCTGGCTGCAGAGCACTGCCCCAAAAACAACCCAAGTCTTGCTGCATGGGGCAGGACTGCAAGGTGTCTGGAACACACAGTATCACCATTTTGATTTTCCTATTAGCAAATGCAATTCCTGGACAGAGAGAGAATCAAAGAATGACAGAATCACAGAATGGCTTGGGTTGGAAGGGATCTTAACCATCACCCAAGTCCAAACCCTGTTATGGGCAGGGCTGTCACCCAGCAGCTCAGGCAGCTCAGGCTGCTCAGGACCCCATCCAACCTGGCCTTGAGCATCTCCAGGGATGGGGCACCCACAGCTTCTCTGGGCACAAAGGATTGGTTGCACAAAAAATCACTTCCAACAGATTCCAGGTCTTTTACATCAAAGGTCAGGTGGCTGTTCTGGAAAGCCTCTGACTCTGTTGACATTACTCTGATGAAAATGCACTATGGGATAGTGGAGTTAACACAGCCACAGAAACAGTCTGGCCCTCTGCTGTGCAGGGAAGCCTGGTTGCTTCTGAATAATAGGAACAGGAGTAAATGGTCCCAGCTTTGTCTTCCCTCCAGCAGCAACACAGCATTGCTGGAGGGAAGCACTGCTGGTACCTTAATGATGGGGCAGACCCTTCTCTCTGCCAAGGTGCCAGAAAACTTGCATGTGGGAAGCATAACAGGTTTCTCCGGAAGGTGTCTGTGTGTAGGAAGGGCAACACATCTGGACTTCTGTCTACCTGAAAATGCAGAACATTTAAGAAGTCATTACAGCAGGAGTCATAGTCGATGAGCTGTAAGTAGATTCAGCCATACAGCTCTCCCTCAAGTGTGTAAAGATAAACCCACAAAGTCTGAATTGGGGATAAACACCAGTAAATAAACAGTAACTAAGCACTGGAAGATAACACCACCATGCACGAAGAAAAAAAGTTGATGCAAGAGTTGAGAAGGTGACAAACAAAAACTGCTTAAAATTAAACTTTTTTGTTAAAGAAAAAATAAAGAATCCCTCCTGTTCCATAGATTCAGAACAAATATGCACTGTGAAATCTTGACTGGAAGCGTGCTTTTGGTTTACAGGCTCTCCAGTAGCAGAGAAGTCACAGAGCATCAGATAAAAGTAACTCTCTGCAAATATTCTTGCATCCATCACTACTTAGCAAACCTGTGAGTGAACTCTAAAAATGGCACCACAGATGATTTCACAAGATGAAGGCATTTTACACCACAGAGCTGCCGTCATACATGCTGTTTCTGCTGGCACATCTTCAGTGACAGCATTTATCTGTGCTTGTTAGGTGTGAGGATATGAGCAAGTCAGATTTGGGCACTGAACACTAAATTGGTGGGCACCACTGACTGCACAGCTCTGCTCTGCCAAACAGAATTAAGCTACTCTGCAGCTCACCCAGTGTCTGCCATCAGTGTTGGAGGTCAAAAGGAATGGATTGTTCAACAGGGGGGAAGAGAAAAGGCAGTCAGAGTTGGAGGACACAAACTGAAGACTTTACTGAATCCTGATATTACTTTGGGTACATATTACATGGCACATCATTTTCAAAACGCCTCTGAAGGTAACTCCAAAATCCAGATACTCATTTTGTCTTTCCTTTATTGCAAACAGCAGCCAAAACCATATTTCTTTGTCATTTTAAGTTTCCTCTCCTACTTCATCTCTGAAGTAGGAAATATGAAATTCTTACAGCACTTCTGCTCCTTTTATATACATAGAAGCTATCTCTACAGAGCCTCCTCCATTTTTCGTTACTCTCAGTAACTCTCAGTATTCGGTCAAACAAGAACCAGGACAGATTCTCTAATGGAAGGTGTGCATTTTGTCATGGAAAACACCATAGCATTATTCTCCCTGCCACAGGATCCCTTTTCCTGTTTGCAAATGCCTGCATCGCACCAGCAGATGCCCAACTATGAAGTGCTCGGATGCTTTGAGGGACAAGGTTTAATTAGGGGACACAGTCAGTGGGCATGGTGGGGATAGGCTGATGGTTGGACTAGGTGATCTTAGTGGTCTTCTCCAACTTCAGTGATTCTATGACTCTTTCAGCACTTTGTAAGAAAGGTGACGCTTTGGCATTGCAGTGCAAAAGCCGTTGTCACGATTTACAAGTGTGCAGTCCAGGAAATGCAGGAGTGCTGCTCTGCTTTATCCATAGGAAATCTGTGCGCGTTTTGTGGAAGTGAGCTCTTCTTCCATCTGTACACCAAATTTCATGCTGAGGCAATACTTTGTTACTGGCAGTAAGTAGCATCTATTTATTTCCAGCAAATGCTCTGGTTCAGTATACTGTCTTCTCACGAGTGTCCTTTGTAATTTTGAATCATCTTAAATATATGTTTCTCAAACAGACAACTCACAGTTATAGACAATGTCATTAAGGTGCCAATTTAACCACTGTGCCAATCCTCTTCTGAAAGAACTTCTGTGAAGACATAGTCAGAGGATACAAAAACACAAGGCAAAGGGATTCTGTCAGCAGGGCAGTTATCTGTATGAGCCACTAGAGGACAATATGACTCAAATTATTCCCCCGTCAGGAAAATAAGTCATCATTAAATTTAACTGGTAGTAAGCATTGAACATTAAGCTTTCAGGACAGGGCAATTGACCCAGGCACCTTTGCAAGGGCACATCCTCAGTATTTTTTATACTTCCAGAGAGTATTCTCTCTGAGATCCTGGATGCATAAAAAACAATTTAACCCAAGAGGTGAAGCTGATGATACACAAGTAATATTTTAGTGGCTGAAAGTTATTTTGACCCCAGAACAAGATGCAATAGATTTAATGTGTCAAAAAAAAACAAAAAAAAAAACAGAAAGACCTTTTGTGAAATCATAGCAGGCCACAGAGCCATTGTCAGCATTGCATCTAATTATATGTGAGAGCTAATTCTGGAGGATGTCAGTCACATCACTCAATGCATGTCTAATGTAACACAACAGATAATGAGAAATGAAGAACAGAGGGCTCCAGCAGAGATAAATTCTAGGTAGCTCACCTATCCACAAAAGCTTAGATATCTTTTCAGACCTGCTGTACATTTTTTATTCCTGATGGTGGTTTTTTTTGTTGTTGATTTGTTCTTTGGGGTTTTTTTTTTGTCTCTTTGGAGAGTTAGATTTTTGGCTTTTCCCCAACATTTCTTTGTGCAGATTTTCACAACAAGATTTCAGATCCTTACCGCAGTAAAGTGTACTATTTTTCATTCTACAGAACAGCCTCCTAATCAGAAACTAATTAGATGCCCCCAAGTACCCTGACTAAATCATTATTTATCCACTGAAAAAAATGCAAGCAGAAGCACGATGATGTGCATTACTTGATAGTTTGCATAACTCATGAGTACAAGAACAAAGGAAAAATTATATACTTCCAGTTTAATGGCACTGTGTTATGGATGATGCATATGAAATATAATTTGATCTGATGGCAGTTTTATTGCACTAGCAGTAAATTGAATCTAATAGAAAATTTATGCTTAGACTAATATCTGTGATCTGACACATCTCACTGTAGATTTGCACATCCTATTTACTTTACTTTGCAGAGGAAAACAAAAGGTGTGTTTTGTAGGGAGAACAATGATAGTTAAATCATAGAAAATATGGTTTAACAGAGGTTCAAACGTAATTATGAACAAGTTAACGATACATGGGGAAGGTCCTAGAGTGCTACCAGCATAACTTCAGCCAAAATTTGGGTTGGGACTTCCTTCAGGATCATTCCATCAAAAATTAATAGTATTCATCATAGAATCATAGAAAGATAGAATTGTTCAAGTTGGAAAAGATCATCAAGTCCAACCACAACCTAACTGTACTACCCTAACTAACAACCCTCTGCTAAATCACGTCCCTGAACACCGCATCCAAATGATTTTAAACACATCCAGGGATGTGTTTAAAAACTCAACCACCTCCCTGGGGAGTCTATCCCAGGGCTCAACAACCTTTTCAGTAAAGTAGTTTTCCCTGATATCCAACCTAAACCTCCCTTGACACAACTTGAAGCCATTTCCCCTCGTTCTGTCACCTGTCACCAGTGAGAAGAGACCGACCCCGCTCTCACTGCAATCACCTTTCAGATATTGAAAGAGAGCAATAAGGTCTCCCCTCAGCCTCCTCCTCCCCACACTAAACAGCATCAGTTCCTTCAGTCGCTCCTTGTAGGGAATACTCTTCAAGCCCTTTATGGTTTTGGTTTCTTCTTATGTATACTGTTTGCATTTATTTGGCAACATCAAACCACAAATTAATAATAAATTAATGAGGAAAAGATAGCCATACTCTAAGTTTCAATCTTTAATTTGCTGCCTTTAGCTTATATGTATATGCACTTAGAAACTTACTGCTCAATTATCTCTCTTATTTAGAAGCCTCAAACATGAGTTATGGGTACTTTCTTTTCTTTGTCTCCTGTAAGAAAATCTATTTCTGCATCAGACAGAGAAGCCTGCTACCCAGCACAGTGTAGCAGAAACAGAGAGAACACCACTGTAAAGCCAACCCTTCTCCTTCCT